TCCTTTCCTTTCCTTTTCTTTCCTTTTCTTTGTTTTTTTTTTCCTTTTCTTTGTTTTTTTCTTTCCTTTCCCTCTTCCTTCCCTCTTCCTTCCCTCTTCCTTCTCTTCTGTCTCTTCCTTCTTCTCTTATCTTTCCTATAAAAGATGGTTGTAGTGCAAATGCAAGAATAATCACTGTTAATAGAGAGGAGCCCCTCACTGAACCATTTAGCTGCAAATGCATGACTGGGCTCACTGGAAAATTGCATTTAAAGGAGGCAGAGTGGCCATTCCAGTGTTTGAGCCCATCCTTCTTACATCCTCCTTTCCACCAGGTCTAACTTGGTCCTGCTAGAGCATGAGATCACCCTCGATGGGACGATAGTCAGTGCAGCCTTTGATGACTCTCTGGAAATGGGAATTGTGGGCACCACGGCAGGAACCCTGTGGTACATCAATTGGACGGAGAGCACGAGCATCCGACTGATCAGCGGCCACAAAAACAAGGTTAGAGGTGGTTTGTCCCACAGAGCAGCAAGTGCTGTGTGTGCTGTCCATGCTCTGGGATGCATGTGTGGGCTGCAGCAGCACTCCCTGGTCTGGCCATTGGGGAGGTCAGGGAGCTGCAGGGCTGATGAGATGACATGGAGGAGTCTACAGGGAACTGTGCACACTGGGGAGTCCAACCTCAAGAAGTCTGAACTCATCCCCTCTTAGCCCTCAGTGTTCAATAGCCTCAGGCTGGGAGCAGCTGTGGGCCTTTCTGCTGGAGCACAAGGCTGCAGTTTGCAATCACTAAGGCTTCATTACGGAGTGCTGCAGTTTCTGTTTGCCAGCTGGACATCCATAGTGAATAAACATTTTCTTTGCCAAAAACATTAAAAATTCCAAACCCAGGTGAAGAATGCCTGTTCTGACTTTTGCTGTTGCTTTGGGGCATCGTTATGCTCTAGAATCTAGAAGGGTTCAGATGGTAGAAGAGAAGGTATTTTATGTAGAACTATGCTGCACAGCGCCTGGTCTTACCTTTGGGGTTAGGTTTACTGATCTCCATTATAAGCTTAGCCCAGAATTAAGCACAAAACCAAATCACCCACCTCCCTTTGCCTTTAGGGCTTCTTGGCTGATGCCTCCCATGGGAGAGATCCTGGGGGGGGATGAGAGGGGCAGAGGAGCATCTGTAGAACCCTGTTCCCCATCTTGTTTCTCGCTGCAGGTGACTGAAGTGTGCTTCAGTCCTGATGAGACTCACTGCGCAACATGTGGGGAGGATGGCAGCGTGAGGATCTGGTCTCTGAGCAGCATGGAGCTGGTGGTGCAGTTCCAAGTGCTCAACCAGGTAATTGTGGTACATCAATCTCTTCCTCCTGGCAGAGGGCACAAGAGGAAGGAATCGTTGCTTGGGATTGCAAGGACTGCTGTGTCCTCATGGAGGAGATAAAGCTGGAGAAATACTTGTAGGTGGAGCTTGCACTGGACTGCACAATCCTGCTGTCCTCACTGTGTCATCAGGCCTCTGCCCTGGTTTCTTTGCAGAGCTGCCAGTGCCTGGCCTGGAAGCCTCATCCCGTCGTTGCATGGGGAGCTGAGAGCCAGCATGTAGTGGCAGGGTACAGTGATGGCACCATCCGTGTGTTCAGCATTTCCAGGACAGAGATGGAGCTGAAAATGCACCCCCATGCTGCTGCACTGACTGCGATTGCCTACTCCACAGACGGTGAGGCTGCCTCTCACACCAGTGTGGAACATGGCTTGTGCTTGGGTTACCCTGGCCTCCAAGTGCTCTGCACACCATCAACCTGCCCAAAAACCTGGGGCCGGGATGATCCAGGAGACTTGTATCAATGAGCTTTTGTAGCTCTGCCAGCTGAGCATGTGGTAAACGGGACACGGGAAGTGTATTTGCAATGGCATAGCAAAGAGGTTTGGGTACAACACACGCGCCTTTGTCCTCCTGCTTATGACCCACAGTGGCTCTTCTTCAGTGTCTAAGGGGTGTCTCTGAGACATCTCATCTTACCCAGCCCTGACTCAGTTGTTCCCATCCTTTCACAGTGTTTTGGGACACTGTGATGTCCATGATCTCGGACCTTTCTCCTATGAGCTTTTTTTTCTCCTACAAGAAGTGTCATGTTCTTTTTCTCTCTCTGACCACAGGAGAAATGATCTTATCGGGGGGCAAGGACGGGCTCGTGGCCGTCAGCAGCCCTTGCACTGGAATGACCATCCGCATCCTTGCTGACCACAGAGGCTCCCCCATCACTGTTCTGCAGTGCACCACAAAGCAGGTGAGACCTCACCTTTGCCCTGGCCCTGTGCAGTAGCGAGTCCCTGTGAGTCACTGCACAGCCACATCAGTCAATGACTGCTTCTTTGTCCCTTGCTTTTCCTGTTCGGGCCACTGTCCCCTCCAATAGCTTCTGTTCAGTTTTTCTGGCTCTGTACTGTTCCTCTGTGGAGCTGGGAAGACTTGGCTGTGCAGCAGTGTGATGGTTTTAGCATCTCCTTTGTCCTCCTCTTCATGGGGAGTCTTCTTCCTTTGTGCAGTGGAAATGAAAATAATTTTGCCTAAGTTCTTTGGCTTTAAAATCATCCACACTGCAAATGGATGGGAATTCTAGACTTGGGAGATCCTCCTCAGTTTTAGGTAAAGGACGTTGTTAGGGGACACACAGTATCAGCAAGGACTCCCCTACAACATGAGCAGGTCCAGAGGGTGTCCCAGGGAAGAGATCCGTGTTGTCCAGGCCAGGCACTCGCCCTCCTCCAGAAGCCTTTTCTGCTGGGGCTTTCAGCCAGGAGCATGCTGCTGGTTCCTATACCACAGCCTCATTCTCCTGTTTGATTCTAAGGGACTTTAAGCACTGCCCAAATGGAAGCGAATGGAGGTAGTTGAACCCCTGAGGCATAAGGCCTGTGTTCCCACCAGCTCCTGCCCCACACTCACTCTGGTGGCAGCTTTTGGACTAAGCTTAAAGCTTAAGCTCACAGCACTGTGTTCATCTTCCGTAGTACCGGGACTTTGGGGTGGAAGGAGGGGAGCTCTGGCTGGCCACCAGCTTGGACCGGCGGGTCAGCATCTGGGCCTCTGACTGGCTGAAGGACAAGTGTGAGCTCCTCGACTGGCTCAGCTTCCCGGCTCCTGCCAGCCCCGAGGTGAGTATGGCACTGCCAGCCTCTGCCTGCTCGTGGCACTGGTCTGGTGGCACAGGTCTCGGCACCAGTGAGCTGGAGAAGGGATGCCTCAAGGCTCTGAGCAGGATGAGGCCAAAGAGAGAAGGTGAACTTCATTAGTCATAGAATCCCAGAATTGGATCTGGGACAGGTTTGGGTTGGACTGGACCTTTAAAGCTCATCCAGTTCTAACCCCTGCCACAGGCAGGGACACCTTCCACTAGACCAGGTTGTTCCAGGCCCCTGTGTCCAGCCTGGCCTTGAACACTACCAGGGATGGGGCAGACACAGCTTCTCTGGGCAACCTGTGCCAGCACCTCAGCACCCTCACAGGGAAGAACATCTTCCTTATCCTCTTTGTCACCTTCATTAGTTCTGCTACTCAAAGAGTATCTTGTCAGTGCACTGTCTTGTCTGTCAAAGGGCAGTGGGAAATGAAGCAGTGCCTGACTTCTGGGAAGCACTGACTTTGTAAGCGTGAGGAGTCAAAAACTGCATCTGCAAAGAGCTAACACCCCTGTGCTGTACAGAACAGAGGACAGACAGCCATGAGCACAGCACGCAGGAGAGACACCTCATTATGAGCGTGCTGCCAACTTTGATACTCCCAAAAAGCATGAATATTCAGAGCCAGGAGCCCAGGGACCGGCTCATAGACCAAGTACTCAGCCTTGTGTGACTGTGACGCTTTGCAGAACCCTTTGGCTCCAACCCAGGTGTGAGATTTGGGTAGCAGAACACTTGCTAGAAAGGGAGGAAGGTGTGTATCAGATGTGGAGATGGTCCCTTGTTCCCGAAACACTGGTTTTCCTCTCCGTGAAAGAAACTCACTACAGGTCTCCCAACAGTGAACCAGGGAAGGGTTGATCTTGCATCCACTACTAAAGATCTATCTTCTGGGCCCTATTTTCTTGTGTTAAACTGATCCATAATCCAATTCCTCCTTCAAGCCCATGTACCAATAATACCTCGATGGAAATTCAACCCTCCCATGTCCCACTCCTACAACAGTAAACAATTTGCTTTAGATTTTTGGGGCAGCGTGTGGTTGCTCCTTGCTTTGCCATGAGCATGTCTGAGATGGCAATGCAAGAGGGAGGAAACAGCCTCCAGCATACTAATTTCGTACTGCTCAGACTCCCACAGCCCCAGGACTGGTGTCCTCATGCTCTCCTTTTGACCCCCATTGTGTTGGGTCAGACTGGAGAAGCTGGCCTCAGTTTTGTTGCCTTTGGTTTCCCTCACCAGGGTCTCGACACTCTTCCACCCAGCCTTGCGGTGTTCTGCCCGTGGGAACACGGCACCCTGGTCTACGTCGGCTTTGGGTTGCAGAAGGAAGCCTTGTTTTACAGTCTGCAGAAGAAACAGGTACTTGTGGCTGCCAGGGCAGCTCGAGTGCTCCTCTGCTGCTGCGGGGCCGTGGCCACGTGGAATGAAGTGCGGTGGTGGGGAGAGGCCGTGCTGCCCTGTGTGTAAAGCTGCAGCTGAAGGTGTGAGGTGGGCCCAGGCGAGTGGCTGCTCAGGGCAACAGCTTTTTGTCTCGGAACCTCCAGGGGCCCTGGTCTGGGCAGGCTGCCAGCCCTGCTGCTGCCTTTCCCTCCCAGTGGAGGGGAAGGCGTTTGCTTTCGGGAGCACCAACGCTATAAATCTTCGAGTCAAGTCTCCTTCGGGAAGTCAATGCCTTTGGCAGGTTTCCGAGCTCTGAGAGGTGCTGTGCATCTGTCAGCTTCCCCTTTGAGAGGAGCCCTTTGCCCTCCTTACAACCATCACTGCAGCAGCTCTGGTCTCCTGCCTTCTCCTTTGTGAGGTGCTGTTTCTCTTGCTGGCGCACAGGTAGTCATGAGGATCCCCTTGCCATACTTTGCCGTGTCACTCAGCCTGTCTCCTGCAGCGCGCATCATGGCTGTCGGCTTCGGGGGTGAGTACCAGAGGGTGCTGTGGACTCTGCTGCGCAGGCTGCCTTGTCCCCAGGCTACCTTTTGGTGGGGAGGGATGTCCCCTTCTTCCTGTGCGACTAGGGAAACCAAGTGTCCTCTTTCCTTTAAACAAGACATGCACACACAGCAGCTCCTATCCTCAGAGCTAGGAGCTATGGTCCTGGGCAGGGTATGCACTGGGCAAGGAGAAATCTCTGGGAGACTCACAGGTCAGAAACGAGATGCATGAGCTCAGTCTCCTGTTTGTCAGCGAGCAGGGTTTGTCACGTGAATGGTGAGTTGGAGTATGGACATGAGAGCGGGGTGAGCTCCACCCC